GAACATAATGGTTATTAAATATGATTGTATTGACTCGTTATCACTAAGGCCTTGTTTACACTAAAAAGGATTAGCCAGAATTACTGGTATACTATCAAGTTCTCTGGGTGTAGACACAGTTTATACTAGGGAAAAACATGTCTTTTGACTGGCATAGTTAATATCAGTTCTTAAAGAAAAATAAGGTGCCTAAGGACTTTTTTGCTAGAATGACTATGTCTACAGTAGGTCTTTTGCTGACACAGCTATGTCCGTTGACTTGTATTTTTCTCATAGTACTAACTGATAATCTACGGGGGGCTAAACTTTATGGTAGACCAAGCCTGGTGCTGTTCTAATCCCAATCTGTTCCAAATTTTTGCATCTTTCACTTGCTGAAAGCACAGCCGTGAACCGGACACTGCAATCCACCCCTGTGTTTTTGTTAAGGCACCAGCAGCTGCTGATTCAGCCCTTGATTGGGCCAGGTGATTTGCACTCGTTTTGAGGGATGGAAAGTAACTCTCTTGGGTTAACAACGGAAGTGGAAATGCACAACCCTCCATGTGTAACTTTGTAGTGCCAGGCAGGGAGGTGCACGGTGTACAGGCAGAGCTGCCTCTGCTGGTGCATTCCTTCACATTGCTCAGGATAGGCAGGTGAGAGGGGGTGTTTAAATGCTCATCCAGGCAGGAAGGCACCCAGATTCCTAATGCAAGCTGCTCTTTGTGGACCACTAGGCAGACAGGCAGAGGCTCACAGAGATCCAAGCTGTCCACTCCAAGCTGTTCTGCTTGGAACGTTGGTGCCACCTTCTATCTTGTTCTTCTCATGCTTGTAGTGCCGTGCCTCAAATCATGCATGCTGATTGGCTACCACCTGCCAGTCTGACACAAAGAGGACTTTTCCATTCACCCATGCTAGTGTCACCACATCATGGGAAACAAATAGTGAGGAAAGAGGATTTTGCTTCCTGTTTCCTCTAAAAGAAAAGAAAAGAAAAGAAACTGCCTTCTTACATATGTTGCAAGCTGTTTTTTCAGGAAACAGCAGTTCCTTCCCAGATATATTGACCTCTCTGAGCAAGTGATTGCCTTGAAAATCAAATTTGCTATTTGCTGGTTTTCTGTCTCATTAGGGAACCATTCACACAGAGCAGACCTGATCCTCCTTGTCCGTCCTCCCAATGCATTAGAAAATCCAAAATAAGTGCTTTCCATGAGGGTTCAATTCACAAGAAATCTGGCTTGGCAGTGAAAGTAATTACTTTAATTTATGTATATGCAATAGATATTTTGTGGATGCCAGCTTTTATAACCCCTAAGAAGTTGCCATATGCATCTTTAAATACATATGGGCCAGATCCAGTCTCTCTGTCTCACATTGGTTAGTACCTTACTCCACAAATGTGTTTTGAAGGCAGTGGTTCCACACATGGAGTAAATGACTAGAAAAGTGAGTAGGGATGGCAGAATCTGGCTTTTAATTTATCAGACATGTTGTGTGTGTAGCTGTAGCTCTTGTGTGTACATATGTGTACAGGCAACCTTCTCAGATAATATATACACTGGAACCTTAATTCTGACATCTCTGGACTTCTGAGTACTTCACTTTACTACTTTAATGTTTTAATGTCATTTTTATATGCAATTTTGTAGGTTTTTAAAACACGCAAACTGGAAAACAAACACAAAACAAACAAACAAAAATCCTAGAAAGTCCATCACAAGCTGCCACACTGTCTCCCTCATGATTTATCAGCTGGTCAAAACTTTTTAGAACCACTACAGTAGAAAGTTGTCCTATCCTCTGTGGGCTAGCTTCTAGAAAGACATGAGATACACTTTTTACCAGTTGGATTCCTAGCCATTGGCCAACAGCAAAGGAATGTTGAGACTCTGAGCTGGTCTGCATGAGGAAATAGCCCTGAAGGACAAATGTAGCATATCTGCTCTGATATTAACCCCCTGGGTCCATACTCCTATTCTACACTGAGTGCCTTTGTCCTGTTTTGTTTTGTTTACTTTGGCAATGGACTCCATCTGGGCGTTTAGTGTGGCCTAGCTATTATGCTTTAAATTATCACAATAACAGCTCCGTGTAGACATGCTCTCAAGAATCTTAGGTTTTGTTACAGACCTTTCTGTCCCTAGCCCCTTCAGTCTGTCCTGGTCCCAAGAGTGGTCAAAGGAGAAGAAAGTCCTCAGGATTTCATCAAAGTTCCCAAAGAAGCTTTGATGGGAACAGTGGAGAATTTGTTAGACATTTAACCACTTCTCTTCCCCAAATGCTTAGGCATCCTTCATTTCACCTGCAGTCTGTACAATTGTACTATTAGGGTACATCTACACTAGCCCCCTAGATTGATCTAGGGAGGCTAATGAGGGCGACCGAAATTGCAGGAGGAATACCAGCTAATTCGAGTTAGGGCTTTAAATCGGAATCCCATTGCACTGTCATGTGTAGACGCGGGCAGTTACTTTGGGCTAGTCAATTTCTAAAATGGCGACTGCCGGGAACATTTAAATCCCGGGCTTGATTTGCAATTTCGGTCGCCCTAGGGGCTATTGTAAACAAACCCTTAGATGGTATGTGGGGCACTGATACACATCACCTAAGAAACCTCAGTCCTCTCTGCACAGAGCCTCAGAGGAAATCCCAATGAGTGCCAATATTACTATATGCCCATTCCCTGGGCTTTCCTTCTTGTCTCCCCTCTGTGATGCATCCCCATCTGCTTCTAAAGCTCATCACATACATTGGGAGCTATGACCTGCTTTCAGAGTTCACTCTGACACATCTGTCATTGTTGTGGGCCCCGCTAATGCTGTTAGTACTAATCCTGACAAAACAGGTATTTTATTTCTGGAACTAACCACTGTTAGAGGGTGTTACAAACCCAGAATTTCATGACTCTGGAGCAATGGGATCCGACACAAAGCCAATCCTGTGAATTGCTGGTCTGGAAAGACCAAATCCTTCCTGCTTGAATTGGCTGGCCTTTTTCAGCCACTACTGTTGATGCCTTAAATTACTTGCTCTAAAATACCATCTGCAGTGGGTCCAAAGTCATGATTAACATGATCTCTCTTTTGTCTAAACAAATAGTTTGAGGAACAGCATAGAATCATAGAACACTAAAACTGGAAGGGACCTCAAGAGATCATCAAGTCCAGACCCCTGCCCTCATGGCAGGACCAAGCACCATCTAGATCATCCCTGATAGATGTCTATCTAACCTGCTCTTAAATATTTCCAATGATGGAGATTCCTCAACCTCCCTAGTCAATTTATTTCTTTGCTTAACCACCCTGACAATTATGAAGTTTTTCCTAATGTTCAACCTAAATCTCCCCTATAAACATGATTATTCCAGGAATTAAACTTCTTGTCAAAGGTATCATTTGCTATGGGCAAAATTTTCAAAAGTGCTCAGATAACTTTTGAACTTAGTACCATTGTCAGAAGTGATTTAGGCATTTAAGGGCTTACTACCCTTGAAAAATAGCAGCACTTCATGACCTGCTTAGAGTCCCCTCCCCCCCAAAAAAATGCACAGCAGGTTAGTTCATTCTAATAATAAACAAGACTGTTTCCAGTGCCTATTCCTTTTACTTTCATTTCCTTCCTCCCTTCCTTCTGGCCTCTTACCCCAATTAAAAAATTAGCCAGCAGTGTGGCCCATGCTGGGCCAATTCTTCATCATACCTTTGGCTGTCATATCCTGCAACACCCTATCCTGAATCTTTAGATTGTGTATCTTGCTGGGCAAGGTTTAGGTATTCTGTGTTTGCCCAGCACTTGGTACAGTGGGGCACCATACCTTATATTTACTATCACCAATAAGAACAACAGTGAGAATTAAAAATAAAGCATACCTAGAGGTTCCTCAGTTCCATAGGATTTTCACTTCCATTTGTTCAAATCTCATTTTCTTGTGGTTATTCCATGAGCGTTGCCTTGTCTAACTTTTCAAGAGCCTATGTTCTTCGTTTGTGGTAGGCTCCGTTTATTATTTATTTGTTTTACAACAATGCCTACAGGGGAGTGTTTAGGGTTACCATATTTGAACTTTCAGAAAAGAGGACACCCCTGAGAGGGAGTGTATCTGCATCCGTTTCTACCAACTCAGGTTGTGTATGTATATAATACAATGTGAGTTGGTAGATACTGATGCAGATACACTCTCTCTCAGGGGTATCCTCTTTTCTGAAAGTTCAAATATGGCAACCCTACCTCAGTGTTCCCTCTAATTTTTTCCATCCCTGGGTGGAATACATTTTGTTATGTGCACCAAGGCATGTGCAAATGTGTGTTACCAGCAGAAACGCATGCTGGCACCTGTAGGCAGCTGTTGGGTGCTCGGCCACTCTGACTTTATTTGTTCTACAGCAATGCCTGCAGGGCAGTGTTTCCTCTATTTTTTTCCATCCCTGGGTGGAATAAATTTTGTTATGTGCACTAAGGCATATGTGGATATGCTTCACTAGCAGAAACACATGCTGGCAGCTGTAGCCAGCTATGGAGTGCTCTGCCAATCAGTTGGGTGACACCTGAATCTCTTCTGGACAGCCACCCAAGTGCTCAGCTTACAGGGTACACTGCTGCAGGATACCTGGGGTTGTTGTGGAAGCTGGACAAATAGGTAGTAAAGGATGGTCCCTGCCTCAGAGATATTATCTATGGCCAAGACCCAACTGATGGTACAAAATGCAATGGAATGGGGACATAGGGAAAAGCAAAAGGCGACAATAATCCGACAGCAAGTTTACATGTTCTAGTAGTGACAGTGTTTTTATCTTGTTTTCTTTTTAAATGGACAAGGGTGCGTCCCTTGCAGCTCATCTGCTGACCAGAGAGGGTTAATGTTGACAGTGGGCCCTGATGAGACTGTAAATAGTTCCTGCCCATGATGCAGTGATTTTTCCTCCTCTCCTATTCTCCCCTTGCCATATGACTCACACCTCTGTGCTTTCCGCTGATGTGACTATTATGCTGACACACATTCTGTTGTGTTGCAGGGATCCCCAGGCTCGCCCGGCCCCCCCGGGAGGGATGGAGCGAAAGGAGAAACTGTAAGCTTTTTCGTTCCTTTGTTGTAATCCTTTCCTTTCAGCGTGAGCCCGGCAGTGGAAATCAATCTATATCGAATGGGACATGCCTCGGGGATTTGTGTGGCCATGTTAGGAGGAAGAGAAACAAGTGACAAGAGGTTAATGACCTCAGCATTGTTCCTTACAGGTTCACGAAGACTTCAGACGTCATATGGATTAAGCATATTGCGGGACTCCAGAGGCAGAACCGTAACAATTCATTAAGCTGTGAGAGGGGGCGGTTTGGGACTTGCTGCTGCTGTGTGGGTTAAGAACTGCAGGCGTGAAACTCAGCCATTTGTTTCACACCAGGCAAAGGGCCACCAGCCTGGGGAGAGGGTGGGAAGGGAGAATGATTGGAGTGGCTGAGAAGGGCAAACAGGAAAGGCAGGAAAGGCATCCCAGTCACAAAAAGCATAGGATTGGGCGTGTCTGGGTGAGGCGGACACTGTTCAAAGCTCTGGGACTGGGGAGAACTACAGGCTTTGCAGGAGAAACCTAAAGCATGCTGCATAAAAGGCCCTTATCCTGAATGTTGCAGAATAGGACAAATGTCCGTGCATTTTCCAGCATCCTTTATGAGGGCACCTTTCTCAGCTTGTCTCCAGGACGTTAGCCCTGCCCTCCAGGACTCTGACCTTACCCCGTCTATGCTTAAATCAACTTCCTGTGTAGCCTCTTCTCTTACCTCCCTTCTGCTAATCTGTGCTCTTTGCCTGTCTCTCTGTTTGCTTTTCCTGGTGCAGGAACCCATTGGCTGTGTAGGCCTTGCTCCCTGGTGGTGGGTTAGCTGCCGCTGGGGACCACTTGGGTAAGGGATTCCTTTGGGAGGGCAGACATACATAATAGGGCAGGAGTAGGTACAAAGCAGAATGCTCTCTTGCTTCCCATCCTTCTCATGCTGTGTCTGTGGATAGCTCAAGTCTGCCGCCTATGGTGGTTTTTGAGAGGCACCTCCCAATATTACAAGGCATAAGAACGTCCCAAAGTACCTTGCTGAATCCATGCAACTGCATCATCTCATACATGAGGCTGTTCTGGGAGTGCCTGTGATATAGGGAGACATGGCAGGTACACTGCACTGGCCCGACAGTTAATGCTCACATTTGTGGGGTAGCTTTTAGAGGGCTGACCAGCTGTAACTCCTAATGTGGCATGAACACTGGAGCAGACAGTTTGTTGCTCGGGAAGCTGCCTGCAGAGGACTAATGAAGGACCTGGTATTTCATTGGTATATTTACTTGGGTGTGACCCCATCATGTTTGCGCCTGAGAAAAAGCACACTGTGGGCTTTAGAAATCACTAGCACATGATATGTGGAAGCTGAGCACTGGAGGCAATGCAGAGCCTCCATCGGTGACACCCATGCATCCTTCAGCTGTGGAGATTTCAAAATGGAGTCCAGGCCTTAGAAACCACATGACTAATCCATGTAATCTTTGTTACAGGGGGAACCAGGACAGCCAGGGGCCTTTGGACTTCCTGGTCCAGTGGGCCCTAAGGTGAGTCTTTCATCGCTCTGAAGTCAAAACTTGTATTTCCTGCCTGGGCATTTCGGTGTCCTTATGTTGGCAGCATGTGTGTGAGTCTTTACACGTTGACTAGTTAACAGGTGTGTTGTGAGCAACACACGAGAAGTCATTCTTCCATTCTACTCTGTGCTGATTAGGCCTCAGTTGGAGTACTGTGTCCTGTGCTGGGTACCACATTTCAAGAAAGATGTGGAGAAATTGGAGAAGGTCCAGAGAAGAGCAACAAAAATGATTAAAGGTTTAGAGAACATGACCTATGAAGGAAGACTGAAAGAATTGGGCTTGTTAAGTTTGGAAAAGAGAAGTTTGAGATGGGACATGATAGCTGTTTTCAGGTATCTAAAAGGGTGTCACAAGGAGGAGGGAGAAAACTTGTTCTTCCTGGCTTCTGAGGATAGAACAAGAAGCAATGGATTTAAACTGCAGCAAGGGAGGTTTAGGTTGGACATTAGGAAAAACTTCCTAACTGTCAGGGTGGTTAAACACTGGAATGAATTGCATAGGGAGGTTGTGGAATTGCCATCTCTGGAGATATTTAAGAGTAGGTTAGATAAATGTCTACCAGGAATGGTCTAGACAGTGCTGGGTCCTGCCGTGAGGTCAGGGGACTGGATTTGATGACATCTTGAGGTCCCTTCCAGTCCTAGTATTCTATGATTCTATGACTAGGAGGGAACAAGTGCACAGTATTAGCATGATACTGCATATTGCCTACAAAACATTGTTAAAACATCAGTACATCCACTCATGCACCCACAGAAATAGGTGAGTATTATCAGAAAGACTCAGAGAGCGTCAGGCTTGAACCAGCAAATCTCCATTAATTTTGGGTGCCTCCGTGTTTGCCAATTCACAGTGACTTGGTGATGTACAACAGCATTTACACCCCCCCGGGATTTGGGAGTCTGATTCAGTAAATGCATTGCTAAGCCCTACACTGGGAACAAGCCTGGATCTACAGGCCCATGTTTATAGCCTCTTTGTATCCTCACTTTCCATAGATCCAGCTCCTATTGACTTACTGCCTTATAATGGGGGAGGGGAGAGAGAAATAACATAAGAACGACCACACTGGGTCAGACCAAAGGTCCATCTAGCCCAGTATCCTATCTGCCAACAGTGGCCAATGCCAGGAGCCCCAGAGGGAGTGAACAGAACAGGGAATCAACAAGTGATCCCTCCCTGTCATCCATTTCTAGCCTCTGACAAACAGAGGCTGGGGACACCATTCCTACCTGTCCTGGCTACCAGAGGGGCCTAACTCCATGAACGTATCTAGTACTTTTCTGCACCCTGGTAAAATCCTGGTTTTTGCAACCATGAAGCCAACAAGCAGCATTCATTTGTACAGGGCACACTAGATTTGTTAGCCATGGAGATATGGACAGGCCCGTTCCCTAATTGCCTGTCACTTCTGTGGATAAATGTTTACACGCTGCCAGGGATCCCATAGGGCCCGCTCAGAAGCACACATGTATTACTCATGTCCTCATCACTGGGTTGAAATGCCTGGCAGCGAGCCAGCGAATGCAGGGGCAGCACGGGGATTACATTCAGCGGCACAGAGGGGCTCATTGTGGAAGCTGCATGACAGGGCGTTGTGGAAAGATGAACGGCGGCTGTGAATGAAGGGCTTGGCTGGGAGAACAAGGGGAAGCATTTAATATAGTCGTTTGTAACCCAAGCCCTTTATTTCCTAATGACTCTGGATACACTCATCCTTCGGGGGAATGGGTGGCAGGTGACGTGAACTGAATTTGTCACCTATGTATACTGGCCAGCTCTGTGGCACCAATGCATATTGGAAGACATAATCCCAACTATAGGTACAAAATGTTGGGGACTAAATCAGCTATTACCACTCAAGAGAGATCTTGGGATCATTGTGGATAGTTCTTTGAAAACAGCCACATAGGCTATGGCTAGACTGCATTCCGCTCTCGAAAGAAGAATGCAAATGAAGGGCATCGAAAATGCAAATGAAGCCCACATTTACAAATCTCATGCTTCATTTGCATAATCGTATTTGAGCTCTTTTTTTCAAAAAGTGTTTTTCAAAATTCCCCCTTCCTTCCCCCGCAGTCTAGACGGGGTTCTTTTGGGGGAAAAAAACCCTTTTTCAAAAGAAACTTTAAACCTAATTTTTTTCAGGAGTAAGGGGTCTTTCAAATAAGGGTGGTTTTTTTTGAAAGAACCCCATCTAAACTGCGGGTTTTTTTCTGAAAAACCCTCTTTCGATAAAGCGCTTGGATGCAATTATGCAAATGAAGTGATTTGTAAATCCACGCTTCATTTGCATTTTCAATGTCCTTCATTGGCATTCCTCTTTCGAGAGAGGAATGCAGTCTAGATGTGACCTTAGTGTGTAGCAGGAGTCAAAAAAGCAAACAGAATTTTAGGAATCATTTAAAAAAAGAGGATAGAGAATAAGACAGAAAATATCTTATTGCCTCTATGTAACTTCATGGTATGCCCTTACCTTGAATGCAGCATACAAATGTCATCACCTTATCTCAAAAAATATCTTAGTGTTGGAAAAAGTTCAGTAAAGGATAACAAAAATGATTAGGAGTTTGGAACAACAGCCATATGAAGAAAGGTTAAAAAAACTGTGACTTTTCATCTTAGAAAAGAGGAGAGTAAGGGTAGATATGCTAGAGGTCTATAAAATCATGACTGGTGTGGAGAAAAAGAATAAGAACTAACATAAGGAATAACATAAGAACTAGGGATTACCTCTTCCGCAAAAATGGCAGCTCATTAGGTATGCAAATGAGCCTCGGCAATATTCCACGCTTAGCCTCATTTGCATATTTCTGGTGCAACAACCCGCCAGTGTAGACATAGCCTAAGGGTTTAAAAGAAGTCCCCAAGTCATCTTCTTATTACATGGATATATAAGTGAAGAGCTGATAACTGGGACTGTAAAGGTGACGACACTGGTAAATGTAAAGGTCACATCTCCTATTGCTGCTGTAATGATTCGGTTTTAGTCAGGTAACTTATCTTTATTTAGCAGCACCATTGTGGTGACTTTGAGATCTCCAGGTTCTGCTGCAGGCTCTGAGGAGAGCTAACTTGCAGTTTCACTGATCAGTGGAGTCACAGTGGTTCCCATGTTCAATTAGTCTTCATTTACTCCCAGCTACGAAGGATACACTCACAGACAACAATGCAGGCACTATGGATACATTTCAGGAAACTCAGTGAGCTGCTAAACTACTTGGCTGAGGGATTTTCCAGTCTCTTGCCTAGGGTCAATCTTATGCATTTATTTTTTCTGTCAGAAACATAGTGAACAATTGTTGCAGACATCAGTAACTGTATCACAGAAACTTCCAGAAGCAGGGCTAATGGCACTTCAGTTTTATGGTAATAGTACTTCATCCCCAAAGGACTTAATCTCCCTAGGATAGCTGAGGAGGACAGTAATGAAATCCCCTCTGAATATCCTCACTAGATAGACTAGCTAGGAATGCCAATAGAAATCTAATAAGAGTACCTTTTTGTTTTCATAAAAATTTAAATGAAGTTAACTGCTTGCACTGTTCAGTGAGGTCTCCTGGGCACATTCCTGCCCCTCGCTCAACTCCCATAATATTACAAATGTTCTCTCTCATCACATTTTGTGGGAAAACTTGGTGCTTGTCAGGAATGAGGAGTTGATTTGGCGGGTTAGAGACAGATATAGTGTAAACAGACTGTCAACGCTTCCCCCAAAACCCAGCTGAGACTTGGCCTTGAATTGTGAGAGACTTAGTGGCTTTGGGATGGGAAGAAACATCCAAATAAGAGCAGGGAAGAGGCCCCTTGATTGGAAGAGAGAAAGCAAAGAGAAGGAAACCCCTGTCTGCCTGAGGGGACGAAGCCACACCCACACTCTTCTGCATGAGTCCCTGCACCTCAGGAAAGCATCTGTCTGAGGCCTCATAGATGTGCTTGAATCTAGCCACATTTGTACCAAGGGTTTGCCTCTGTGTCTGGCACAGTCCCCAACCACAGTCGGGCAGTGCTAATCAGCTCTTCGATCTGTGAGTGGTCTAGCCCATGATTTCAGTTGGTAGTTTGACTTTTAAAATACATCTCCCCCTGTGAGCTTTTAATACACATCCCCAACTGCTATAGCCTCACTCCGCAAAATGGTCATGGGTACTTGTGGACAGGGCCGGACCGAGCCATTCCAGCACCAGGGGCAGACACTTTAATTGCACCCCGGGTTGGGGGAGGGCGCATGCGCGGCCCCGCCCGGAGCTGGTGGCAGCAGGACACCAGCCCAGCT